TGAAAAACCTCAATACACCACCCCCCTTTTTGAGACTCAGAAGGTTGCCTCAGTGGAAAATTCCCCAAGGTCCCTTTCCCTAGACAGGGAACACGGTCTGTTTAAAAAGAACATCTGGTCCAGAGTGCTGATGCAGGACACCCACAGGCTGTTAAGGTAAGTTTAATCTTGACCTTGTGGTTTCTCCAGGAAGGATGAGTTATGCCCGCACCTCTTACAATACCCCTATTGCTAGCCCATATCTGCACCTGCAGTGGCTCTGCTTTTTACAATACCCCTATTGCTTTGCTTGCCAAAATGATGTACATAAAAAGAAAACTGTCTTAAAGCCCAGCGCGCTCAGTTAGCTAAGGCTGTTGATTCATCCACAGATGCCTGTGTAAATAATAAACCTCTTGCGGGTTGCATCCAAGTGTCTGGAAGTGTCTGGTTATTGAGCTATGGACGTCTCTGGGTATTCAGCCTGAAGCCTGATAACCTCAGGTCTTTCAAGCCTGCCCATTTACCCTTTGTATGGAGAAGCATTCTGAGGGAAATTAGTGGTGACTGGAAGAGAAGGTTGCATTGTAAGCACTCAGGTGTTTGAGGAATGATTCACATTTGAACTTACTATGCCTTTTTGATGAGTAATGTGCTTGCCATACAAGCATGAGCTTGGATCCCTAACACCTACATACAAAGTATGAAAATGTGTGTGTGTGTGTGTGTGTGTGTGTGTGTGTGTGGTGTGTGTGAGTGTGTGTGTGTGTGTAGTTCCTGCACTGGGGAGGCAGAGACAGAGGATACCTAGGGCTAGCTGGCCTGTGAGTGCAGCTGGATTTGTGGTCCCAATGCTCAGTGAAATACTGTTGTCAGGTAAATTACATTCAGTTTAAGATAATAATAAGTTTTTTTCAGATAAATGGCTTCTGTTTTCTGACAAACGCATGGAAGCCTACAAATTTATTAAGTATATGTAGGATTTAAACTATGTATGATACCAATATTTCATACTGTGTAAAGGTGCCCAGCTTATTAACAAAGCTTTCCTGCATGTACTTGTATCTGTTTCTTAATACTTAGCAAAGACCAGTTATCTCCGTTTTGTAGTGCAGAAATCCTGTTTATGCTGCTAAGGTGTCTGTCTCATTACTAACAAACATTTCTGTATTAATGAACTTGCAGGAGGTAGAAATGTTTTAAAATGGACTTTTGCTGTGGAATTTTAAGTTTCTTCTCTCTGCCTGAGGAATGTTGCTAGTACTGAATTATTAAAAATGGTGGATTGACTTAGGAAAAAGAATTTGGACATGATAGTCTCATTATGAACAAGGAGCTCAGTGTAGTCAGACCTGCGTTGAGATGACTAAAAATGAGTTTGGCTGGGAAACAGCATGAGACTGAAGAACTAACTCAACAACTGGAAGGAATGAGGGCCACCTGGGGGACAGAAGTGCTGCAGAGGGTGTGCTCACCTCCTGTGGCTTTGGTTTGTATACATGTGAATGGTAGTGTGTGTGTGCTCATTACATAGGGGGCTTTGCAATGGCAACCTAGGCCGTTTCATAATTTTTGTTCTTGTACATAGATAGCAACATGAAGCCCATTTAAAATGAGGATCGCAGAAACACAGCTGCAATATTTGAGACTTTCAAAATTTAGCTGTGTCAGGTAGCTAAAGTGAAATCCACTCTTGTAAGACAGGTGTCTTTTTGTCATCAGTCTGAGAGAAGTTGGTGTACCACAAAAAGTATGACTTAAACCCATGAGGAATGTCAACAAGGCCTTGTAAGTCATCTCACTGGTGACAGTGACATCTGCTATGCAGAGAGGTCAAGATGAAGAGGAACACTGATAAAAATGACAGCATACTTCATTCCAGCCTCTTCAGAATCAAGCTGGGTTAATCGTGTCTGTTGCTGTTGCCCTGAATTAATCGGGGCACTCTAAAGTATAAAGATGCTTCTTCTATAAGAAAACATGGAAAAGTCAACCCAAATATATTCTCGTCCTTCCTTAATGCAGATATATGTTTTCAAAGTCAGTTTTGAATTAGAACTGATTTGGACAGGCCAGTAGCTTTCATGGCAGATTATCTCACTGTGGAAAAAATACCCAAAAGCTAATATTTACAGTCTTCACTGGTTTCTCTTAGCTATATGAATTTGAAGCTGCCAGAAAACAACAATACAGCATCATTACTCAGTTAACTGCTCATTTGCAGCAATCAAGAAAAGAGACAGATGAAATGATTAACGAAATGATTACAGAAAGTAAGGAGAAATTACAAATTCAATTACAGCATGTAAGTATTATGAGTACAACAACGTCCATTGATTTGTTTGTTTGTTTTGTTTGTTTTTTTTTTTTGAGACAGGGTTTCTCTGTGGCTTTCAAGGCTGTCCTGGAACTAGCTCTCGTAGACCAGGGAGGTCTCGAACTCACAGGGCTCTGCCTGCCTCTGTCTCCCCATTGCTGTTATTAAAGGTGTGTGCACCACCAACGCAGGGCCATTTATTGATTTTCAAGCAATGAAGTATATACTTTTTCAAATTCTAGGACAAATCAAAACTTACTATGGAGCCATTTGCTTCTTTTTCATGTAGTAAAAAAAGGACTTTAGTGTACTACTTTAGCATACTGAAAACACTGATAAATCTGTGTTGATATTAGTAAAGAAAATTTGTTTGTTTGAGACAGAGTTTCTCTGTGTAGCTTCCAAGCCTTTTCTGGAAACTCACTATGTAGACTAGGCTGGCATCATCATAGAGAACTGCCTGTTCCTGCCTCCCGAGTCCTGCTATTAAAGGTTTTTGCTGCTACCACTGCCCAGCATAACCAGAATCTAACTTATTTCATGAGTGGTTTCCTACTGTTATTTGTATTAAACTCCATATTTATGTTTTGGAAGTCTTCAAACTCTTACCAAGGTGGCCTGAGTGGATTTTTGCAGACATCACTCTGTAGTTGTATTGGACCTTTGTAATCCTGACATGGTTTTAATTATATTGAAAATGGCAACTGGTCTACTCTACACCTTTCATTTACTTTGCTTAACTTGGGAATCCACCCTGGATAGTTATGATAAGCTAGAGTTATCTGAAAGAAGGGAACCTCAGTTGAGAAAATTCCTCCATAAGATTGGACTCTGAGGCATTTTTTAAACTAGTGATTGGTGAGAGAGGTCTCAGGGCATTATGAGTGGTGCCATCATGGGGAGGTGGTCCTGTTTTCTCTAAGATAGTAGGTTAAGCAATCCACGAGGAGGAAGCCACCAAGCAGCAATCCTCCATGGCCTCTAAGACAGCTCTTGCCTCCAGCTTCCTGCTCAGTTTGAGTTCCTGGCTTGACATCCTTTGATGATGGAAGCATAAGGCAAATAAACCTGTTCCTCGCCACCTTGCTTTTGGTGGTGGTGTTTTATCATTCAGCAGAAGGAACCCTGACTATCACAAAGGCTGATTGCATTGCTCAGAGTTTGACAGCAAGTATCCCAAAACAACATGAAATATCTTAAGCCTGAGAGTTCACTGGAAGTATGCAGGTGTCCTACAGAATTTAGGGACAGAAATATAATCAAGACTTTGAAAGAGATTGGAACTAGAGTTTGAAAAGTATCCAGGATGCAGCAGTATTTTCCTGACCACTTCTCTTGGCATTGTGACCTCGGTCTTCTTTCCCTCACTAGAACTGCTTTGTCTGAACTATCTTTTAGAAGATAGTTTGGTGTCTCAGTCTATCAGTCCAGTCATAGCATCAGCAGATCTCAAAGTCCTGAAGAGAGGTCACAGAGAGCCAGTGCCAGCAGAATAAGACTCCAGATGTCTGTTCATGAACAGTCATTGAGTGTTCAGTAGGTTGAAATTTCTTTCTATTTTCAACTTACAGGTCAGTGAGACATTGCAGAGCAGCACCCACAGTACCACTGCTGAGGAGCTGGTTCTCGTGAAGCAGCAGGTCCACGCTCTACATCAGCAGCTGGAGAAGCAAAACCATTTGTTGTTGGATTATCAGAAAAAGGAGGAGGAATTAAAAACTGAAGTTACCCTTTTACAAGAGAAAATTAAAGTATATGAAATAGTAACGATAGATGTCAGCTAGCTTGTTACAACTTTGCATTTTTCTTATTCATGTGTATTATGCATGTGAATTAGAAACTTTTATAATTAAGTCAAACTCTTTGAATATGGAAATAATTTGTTTCAAAAGCAATTAAGAATCTCATACTAACTGTATATGTCACACCAATATAGTTGTTAAGATAATACTGCCCACTAATGTATTCCTTAATGTGGTATGCATATGTTACCTGAAGTCCTCAGTAGAAGCTAAATTTGTAACTCAAATATCTACCTTGTCCCCTCTGAAGTTTTCCCATCTATTTTAGCTATGAGACTTAAATTGTGAAAATGCTTTTGTCACAATGTAAAATTATGTAGATCTATTACAAAATTTAAATGCAGTTGACTATTTATGCAAGTTAAGTTCTACTTCTTGGAAACCTTTAGGTATTAAGGTTCTTTGGGTCAGGGGGTGGCATTATGTATCATATAGATTATAATCTTAAATTCTAAGAGCAACTCATCCTAAAAGCTTTGCTCTCACTGATTTTCAAGTGAGAAATCAAAATGTAAAAGTGATTTGTTGCTGGCTGCTGTATTTCCACACCAGAATTGGATTCAAATGGCTTGGGACAGGGCAGAGCTGTTGCACCACACTGCGGTTTCCTATGTAAAAATATGTTACAATCCATAGCAAATCAAAAGCACAGTCTGATTAAAGGTGTAGGCTCAGAAAATTCATTTTAGGTGTTATGTGTGTCCTGAACTTGAACAGACATCAATGAGGTTGTTCCAAGTTCGAGACGATGTTTAAAAATTCAATTATAAGTTTATCAGTTGGCAACCATTAACCTTCATGGGGAACTGTACATTTCGGGTCCTTTGGATCTTATTTTCTTTCCATGGACACATGAACTTAAAAAGACAAACACTGGTTAGGACGTTATTAGTGTGCAGATGGGAGGGTGTTAGCAGTCAGACATTGTGGCGTTAGACTCAGATGGACTGAGATGCATCATATTGTAGTGCAGTTTATGCCTATGTGCTGCAGTTCTTCAGTCCCCTTCATCACGACTTCCAACATTGTATTTTTCTTAATCGAGTGTTTATATTGAGTATAGTTGGAAGATCCTGCTGCCTCTTGAGTCCTGTGAGACTATGTACATGCATGCATGACTCAGTGTATGATTTTTCTAGAGGGACCATAATTGTCAAAGGCTGAAGGCACTTTGGTGTTTTTCCATGGACTGTGCTTAGACGGGTACTCTCAGCGCTTCCTTCAGAGGGCTTTCTTCTGTCTGAGCTTTGACATTTTTTCTTTCCATGTGTTATGCATTCATTCAGATTCCCTTTGAGTTCTGTTTGTCAAGGACCTTTGTGATATAATTCACCTGCCTTTGGCCAGTTCTGTCGATTTTATTTCATATTTAGTATTTGGGTCTGAAGTCTTTGCCCACAGAGAAAACAAAATAACATATCCAAAACTCTGCCTGGGCCTGTGCTCCACGTGGTGCTTTGATATGTTTGTGATATGCCTGTGCTTGGTGTGGTCGTCTGGGCTGAGCTGTTACCTACAGTTGTGTAATTGACCAAATGGGAACTGCACAAAGTGTCTTTTGTGTTTTCAAGTTTCTGTTTGAGCTGAAACTGTAGTTCCAGTTCCGTATGCTATGTATATTACAGTTATCATAGATTGCCCTTAAGTTTCCAGCAGTGAAATGAAGAAAGACTCAAGGAAATATCTCCTATCATTAGAACACCTTCAGGTCACTAGCTTTCATGGGAATAACCACAACTTACTTATAAATCTATTTGTTGGGGTAGTCTGAGAGTGATTAATAGTATAATTAGGTATCAAAAGATAAAATAATTGGGATATTAATCAGTTAACTTTTAAAGTGAAGATATATCGGGTTAGCAAAGATTTAGTGGATGTTTAATTATTATGATTATTTACCTGTCTGGGGAGTGAACTCAGGTCATCAGAGCCATCTCATCAGCCTGGCAGTCTTTTCTCTTCCTTCTTTTCTTCGTTTTTCTTGGCAGTGCTGGGATTGGAACCCTGGAACTCATACCTGCTAAGCAAATCAGGGTGTATAGTTTTAAATTAAAAATTCATTACATCTTTATTATTTTAAAAATATTCATACAATATATTATTATCGTATTCTTTCCTGTTCTTCCAGATGGTTCACACCTACATTAATTAAACTTTTTAATCACAGCAAATGTAATTTTGTATTTCTTCCTAAGAAGGATTGAGCTGCTCTAGAACTCTTGTTTGTTCCTAAGTGTCTAGGTACACAAGCCTTACCATGGGGACGATTGAGGGATGGGCATATCAGTTACTTCTTATAGAAAGATGTAAAAATGTGACTTCCATCTGCCTTTTGTTAATAAAGTTAAGCGACAAAGTTACCAGAAATCATTCTACTTTTCTTTTTTTCCTTCTGAAGGAACAAGATAAGAAATTAGAAAATAACAACATCCAAGAATTAGAAAAACAAGCCATCATTGAAGATTTACAGGAAACAATAAAAGAAGAAGGAAATAAATCTGCTGCCCTGCAGAATGAGTTAGAAACTGCTGATAAATTAGTAGGAGACTTAAAAGAACAGCTTAGAGAAAAGGATCAAGAGACCCAAAGCTTAAAACTGGAGCTAGCCAATTGTAAAGAGAAAGAGAAACACTACATTTTAGAAATTGAAGAGTTCAAGGGGAGAGTAGAAGAACTCCAGAAGAAAGATTACAAAGATAACCATACAGACACTGGCAAAGAGCAGAGCACAGAGAGAGAAACAAGGAGGAAAGTAGATCACCTCCAAGTGGAGCTAGATGAAATGTATGGAAGAGAAATAATGCACATGAAGGAACAATTAATAAGACAAAACAAATCTAAGATGGAGGATCTTAAATCCCGCCATGAAGGTGAAATGGAAACTATCTTGGCATCATATGCATGTACTACACTAGGCATGTGCAATATGTATAGAGAGTATAAAGAGCAACTAGACCTATTGAATGTGATTATAAATGGACAGGACGTAAAATTACAAGATACTCTTTCTCAAAAGGAGAACCTCAGCAAGGAGCTCTGCCTAGTTAAGAGAGAAAAAGATGTTCTTGAATCACAGTTCAATGATCTTTTAGAAGAATACAACGTTTTAAGATACCAGACCATTACAGATCATAACAAAATATCTCAACAGGAAAGTAAACTAAATGATACATATCATTCCCTGCACATAGTGAAAGCTGAGATCGCTACTATGTCTGATTTCCTGAAAGAGGTTGAGTGTAAACATGAGAAAGAAATTACAAAGTATAAAATAAAACTTGAAATGCTAGAAAAAGAAAAGAATGAGATAGTAAAGGAGATGTCAGAGTCCCAAGAAGCCCAGATGCAGCTTCTCCAACTCAGCCATGAAGAAGATCTTTATAAACTGAAAGAAGATCTAGAAGCTGAACATCAAATAAATGTTGAAAAACTTAAAGAGAATTTGGCCCTTCACCACAAGCATCAGATAGAGGAGTTAGAAAATGAAATGTGTAAGAAGATTGAAATTTTACAGTGCGAAAAAGACAACTTTTTAAGTAAGCATAATCAGCTGACTTTAGAAATTTCTGAGCTAAGAGATTTACAGCAGTCACGCATTGAATTGAAATCAGAACAAACGACTTTTCAGATTAATGAGCTTAAAAAAATTGGTATCCTCCAAATCGAAGTAAAGGAAAAGCGTACACTTGAACAGGAAACTCAGGACTTACAACATAAAACTGAACTAGTAGAAAAACTGCAGCAGTGATTGGTGTGTTTGATGTTAGCCATTCTGATCAGTGAGACATGGAATCTCAGAGTGGTTTTGATTTGCATTTCCCTGATTACTAAGGATGTTGAGCATTTCCTGAAGTGTGTTTCTGCCATTTGAGATTGTTGAGAACTCTCTGTTTAGATCTGTACCCCCATTTTTATTGCATTATTTGGTAGTTTGTTTTCCAGTTTCTTAAGATCTTTGGAGATCAGTCCTCTGTCAGATATGGGGTTAGTGAAGATCTTTTCCCATTCTGTAGGGAGCTGTTTTGTCTTGTTGATGGTGTTCTTTGCTTTACAGAAGCTTCTCAGTTCAGGAAGTCCCATTTAGTAATTGTTGCTCCCAGGGTTTGTGCTACTGGTGTTCTACTTAGGAAGTGGTTGCCTGTGCCTATGCGATCAAATGTATTTTTACCATTTGCACCATTTGTTGAATATGTCTTCTTTTTTCCATTTTATATTTTTAGCTTCTTTGTCAAAAATCAGCTGATCATAGGTGTGTGGGTTGATATCAGGTTTTTCAATTCGATTCCAATGGTCCACCTGTCTGTTTTTATGCCAATATCTAGCTGTTCTCATTACTATAGAGCTATAGTAGAGCTTGAAGTCAGGGGTGGTGATGCCCCCGATGATCGTTTATTGTACAAGATTGTTTTGGCTATCCTGGGTTTTCTGATTATCCATATGAAGTTATGTGTTTTTCTTTCTAGGTCTGTGAAGAATTGTGCTGGGATTTTGATGGGGATTGCGTTGAATCTGGAGATTGCTTTTTGTAGGATTGCCATTTTTACTATGCTTACCTACCTGTCAAAGAGCTTGGTACAACTTTCCATTTTCTGATATCTTCTTTAATTTCTTTCTTTAAAGACATGAAGTTTTTGTCATATAGGCCTTTCACTCGTTTGGTTAGTGTCACTGCAAAGATATTTTCTGTTATTTGTGACTACTATGAAGGGTGATATTTCTCTGATTTCCTTCTCAGCCCGTTTTTCATCTGTATATATGATGTCTACTGATGGTTTTTTCTTTTTTTATTATTATTTTCATTTTACATAGCTTGTTTTTCATGTCAATCCCAGTTCCCTCTCCCTCCCCTCCTCCTGCATCCCCCCCTACTATACCCCCAGCCTCCCACCCTATCACCATTTCCTTCCACATAGGGGATATCTAGAGTCTGTCATTTCATTCAGGGCAGGGTTCAGGAACTCTCCTGAGAGTCCAGGCTGAGAGAGCATCCCTCTTTGTGTTATGGACACACGATGTCTGTTTGTATGCCAGGGATAAACAGTGATCCACTTCTCAGGGCCCCATAGGTTGCCCAGGCCTCCTCACTGACTCTCACATTCAGGGGCTCTGGATCAGTCCCGTGCTGGCCTCCCAGCTGTCGGTCTAGGTTACAAGAGCTCTCCCCTGTTAAGATCAACTGTCTCTGCTGGTTTTGCCAGCCCATTCTTTGCCAATTTGCTCACCCCTCCTTTCTCTCTGTCACTGGGTTCAATGGGTTCAGTTCAGTGTGGGTGTTTGCCTCTGCTTCCATCAGTCACTGGATGAAGGCTCCAGGATGGTTATAGACATCAAGTTCATTATCAGTTCATTTTTAGTTAATGCTGTATCTTGTTTATCATTTGTAGAAATGCTATGTTAGAATTTTTGGGATCATTTATGTATACTATCACATACTCAGCAAATAGCGAGATTTTGACTTCTTTTTTTCCAATGTATCCCTTTGATCACCTTTTGTTGTCTTTTTTTGTTTTATTTTGTTTTTATGAGACAGGGTTTCTCTGTATTGTTTTGGAGGCAATCAGTCCAGCCCGGCCTCGAACTCACAGAGATCCTCCTGCCTCTGCCTCCCGAGTGCTGGGATTAAAGGTGTGCGCCACCACCGCCTGGCACCTTTTGTTGTCTTATTGCTATAGCTAAAACTTCCAGTACTATGTCGAATGGATATGGCAAGAGTGCACAGCCTTGTCTTTTCCTTATTTCAGTTGGATTGCTTTGAGTTTCTCTCCACTCAGTTTGGTGTTGGGTGTTGGGTTACTGTATATTGCCTTTCTCTTGTTTAGATATTTACCATTAGGAATGGGGTACTTTCGAAGTCTCCAGTAGAATTTCTGCGCTGAAAAAATTCAGATTTCAAGAGTCACTTAAAGAAGGATGCCAAGTTTTCATTTCAAGACTTCTTTAGTTTATTAATTATTAATATTTTACTTGTATTTGCATGCAATCTTTGTGTTGATATTGTCTTCAGATAGCCTGTCCAGTGCTTTCTATTGACAGTTGATTATTCTATTAGAAGGCAATAAAGCAATTTAGTGAGTAATGATGACTGTTTCTGAAAAGAGGAGAAGAGAATGGACTGCATTTTAAAACGTTTTAATTAATTTATTAATTGATAGATTGTTTTTTGTGGCACTAGGCTGAAACCCAGGGCTTGCACGTACTAGTCAAGGTATCCTACCACTGAAGTATGTCCTTATGCAAAAAAGTAAAGACTCATTTGTGGAAGTTTTGTTTGATGTTTGCATTGATGGATTTAATGGATAGGATACGGATGTATTTCTTGTGATGGAGTATAGGTCACTGGTTTGCACCCTTTGAGACAGTTACATTGCACAATTGGAAATAAATTTGGAGGAAATTAAAATGTGTCTTGTTTTAGGGAAGCTTGCAGTTGGATTAATTAACTCTGACAGTATTGCTTACACATGTACAGTGAATGGCTCATATATGCTATATCTTCTGCTAGGTGAAGACAAAGAGCCTATACAGGTGCTCATTGGACGACTTCAAAAGGCATTGTCTGAGGAGTGCTGCTCTGTTTCAAAGGTAAAATGTTACTTTAAATGTGGTTTTGGACTAGAGGTGCCGAAGTTTAAATTGCTGCTGATTCACTGAGCAGAATCATCCACCCATGTGGATTTCCCTGAATCCCTTATGCATAGAACTGTACTGAAAAAGCATTCCTGAGTTCTAAGCTTTAAATGAACACTTGGCTTTTTTTCTGATAGCCATTTGGGAACAAAAGGAATCAGTGCTAGGAATGTGACTTGGTGAATCATTGCTTGCCTGTTATGTTTAAGGTCTTGGATTCAATCTCTGTTAGCACATAAGAAGGACAAATAAACTCAGATCAGTTGCATCTCCAGAAGAGCAGATGGCATAAGCATTGCTCTTGTCAGAGAGGTGATAATTAATCTTTTTGGGACACAGTTTGTTCATTGAGGTGCCATGGGATAAAATGGTACCCCTTTGTGGCTGTGCTGAGAAGTTAATATGTGCAATCACTAACTGACAGTGTCCTTTAACTTTAAAAAATGCAAGAAAGAGTAGCAATACACAATTGGCATTAAATCTTTCAAATCATGATGGTTATTTCCAGTTGTGTGAGAGAAAAATGTAAAACTATCTTAGATGTCTTATTAAATCACAGAACGTGAAACGTGATTTTGAATGATAGTGGGGTTATCAGTTGCTCTGGAGAACACTGTGCTGGTTATTTTTAACTTTGTATTTGTACAGATCATCATAAATTCGCTTGCATGTTATAGAAAGGACACTAGTATAATCTCTCCCTTGATAGATTATCATTTTGCAGAGATGTGTGGCAGACCTCTCTGTCAGTTTTGAACTTCTCCCCTTGTGATGTTCGTTCCAGGATAGCTGATATAGTCATGAGATATTTGGAAAGTAGAGAGTAGGAGCAGGGATCATCCTAGAGTTTCAACACTAGCACTTCATGATATATTCAATATTAACAGGAAACAGAACAAAAGACATCATTTTGTGTATTAAGATTATCAATCTTTTCCTGATAAAAGAATAATTTCATGTCAAAGAGAAACATGGTTTTCTGCAGATGGATTTCATATGTGGAAGAAGAGGGAATTAAGATTCCGTTACTATTCTTTTGACCTTTTCCTATGGGTTAATGATGTTTTAATAGTATTTAGAAGAAATCAAAGTTTTATTTTGAAATAATTCAATTTTGTTAACAGAGTATGCAAGCTTTTCTTGATGAAACCTATTGTCCTTTAAACTGTGAAATGAATATAGAAGAGAAAGAGAATTCTTTTGTATACCATGCAATTTCAAGGGTGAACTTGCAAGATTATAGATACCAAGTTGAAGGTAAAAACCTTACTGTACTGTTAAACACTACTCACTTGGCATAAATCAATTGCTTATAAACTTAGTTTTATTCAAAACTTAATTTTAGATAATTTTCTATCTTAGTATCTTATCTTTAGAGATGAAATTTATTTGTGTAAATTAATTTACACTTTCAGTCTTTATAGTGTAACAATCATACAATGCACATAATTGAGACATCCTAATTTTCTTTGTCTCTTTCTCATCTATGCCTGTATTCCCACTTATTCCTTTATTCTACTTCTTTCCATTAACGGTTCTAACTGTAGCTCCTATTAAAATCTTAAAGGAAGTACTGAGTTTGCTAAGTTAAACTTAATGGTTAATAATTTTAGAGTGAATGACAAAACCATTGAGGAGTGAGCTACAGTAAGAAATATCCTCTGCCCGGTGTGGTGGCTCAAGCTCTGGGCGAGGCAGGTGGATCCCTGTGATTTCTAGGCTGTAGGGTTTACATATCAATTCCAGGTCACCCATGGCTTAACAAAGAAAGACATAACTTTCTTCATTCGTGGTTTTAGGGGTTTTTTTTGTACTTAAGAAATTCCAACTTGAATTTCTTGTTGTTCCTACACAGTTGTATGTTCCCAGTATATTTATTTGTATAGGTAATGAACAACCCCCCAACAAGTAGCTACAGAATGTATACTGGGATGACATTTTCAAGTTAATATCATACCACTTATTTCACAGTTATGATTTAAAAAATTATTACTAGATACATGGGTTTTTTTCCTTCCAGATGGCTTTCTACAGTTGTAATTAGGTAAATCATAATGTCTATAAAGGTGAACTTATACAGTAAAGTAAAATGATTATAATTGCTTTTTTTTTCAATCAGAGTTTCAAGATGCCATTCAAAACCTTCTGAGTAAAGTCACAGATGAACACAACAAGTTTGTGATACTGCAGATGCAGTTAAGCAAGGTCTGTGAGGTAGAAAATATGGTATTTGCATTTATTTTATTATCTGCTCTTCTGTTAGTCAAGAAATTCTAAAATAAGTGAACATAGAAAAGGCTAGTAGAAATATAATAAACATTTATATGTTTCTCTTGGAACATTTATATCTGTCAGCTGAAGAAATTTGGAGAAGTTGAGTAATCTGTATCTCTCTGAGTCATGATGAAGTGTACATGAATGTCAAATATTAAGCAAATGAGACAATTGTATTTAATTGTATAGATACCTTGACTCTGGAAGAGCAACCTGTGTTCTTAACCTCTGAGCCATCGCTGAAGGCCCCACAAAGGCACTCTATCAGTGAACAATACCCTCAGCCTGTTACATGTCGCATTTCTTAAGGCAATGGGCCCGTCTTTAAATTTTTTTTCTGGCAGGGATCAAATTCTTTTTTATAAATTTATTTATTTATTTTTCAGTTTAAATTTAGATAAGAAACAAGATTGCTTCACAAGTGAGTTCCAGGTCCCTCTCCCTTTCCCTCCCCTCCTCCCTTGCCCTCCTACCAAACCCCCATTATCACCTCATTTCCCCAGGGAGGGTGAGGCCCTCCATGGGGGTGTCCATAGTCTGTCATTTCATATAGGGCAGGGCCTAGACCCTTCCCCAATAGTTCAGGGTGAGAGTGCACCTCACATTGTTGGATGGGAGTCCAAAGTCCGTGTACCCACAGTGCACATTCGCACATAGGAGCCCAAAGTTTTCAATCAAGCAGCCTCCAAAAGTGTTCACACGAACTAGACCTTAGTGCTTTTCTATGCAGCAATGTTGCCCATGCTAGCACATGGAGAGGTCTGTATTGGCTTAGAGAGTTCTTCACTAGGTTTCTCAATTACTGCCAAGAGAAAAGCTCATAAGCAGACCATTCTAAAGACAGACATCTACTCTCTCTCTACACTCTCCTCTGCACATTGAGTAATGAGTGAGTTTTCACTGCCAGTGTCCTCAGGGGACTTGAGAATAATGGCTCAGTAAAGTGCTTGTCATGCAAGAAGTGGACCTGAGTTTAATCCCTCCAAACTCATAGCAAATGTGGCATGTCCTGTAATCCCAGTTTGAGAGTAGAGACAGGAGGATCCCTGGGACTTGCTGGCCAACCAGTCTAGCCTAATAGAAAATTTCCAAATGTGTTGAGAACCTGAAAGAGAAAACATTTGCTGCTGACCTCTGACTTCCATGCCCATGCACCCCATATAAATTGTTTATGCACAAACATGCGTGTGCTCACAAATATACACACAAGCAAGGAAATAAGAAACATTCAGGAGGTAGGCGTGTGGTAGAGGACACCTATTAGAGTAGTGACCAATTAAAATAGCCTCATAAAACTTAATTTTTATCCTGCTATTGACTGGTTTTCATAGCATCCTATATTGGTCGTGTCCGGCAAGTCAAGACTCTTTCCTTGTAATCTAGATGTACTTTACTTAACTAGCTTTATTTTCCCCTTTCACCACAAGTGTAGGGGATTAAAAAAACAAACTTAGTGTGAAGTTCTCTAATTCTTTTAATATAGATTTCAAAGTCCCAGATTGAACATTTATGTCATCGT